TATATGACAAAATAAAACAGGGCTCAAGTTACCTATTCAGTTAGACCAAAAGAGGATAGTCTCAGGAGAAAAGCACCAAATCTCAATACCCAAGCAACCCCTTCGTTTGTATATAATAGGCATGCTGAAAAGACCCCAAAGATAAGAAAACAAAGGACCTCTTCTAAATTTGTCCCATCATTTTTAGATGACTGTATTCTTCACTTCACATATGGTATATACACACACATGCACATCTGAGGAAAGGTGGGGGCAGGACATAGGGGAGTAGGGAAAATATAGCAGAGGGGCCTATTAACTGCACTGGACACTGATGAAAGTGAACTAAGCAACTCAAGGGCAGTGTTGGGAGGGAGGGCTGATACTAAGCAAAAGGAAAGAAATGTATGTATCACCTGATTTGTAAAAAGAACAGTTTTACTGTTAAAAGTCATAGAGTTCATAAGCAATGTGTATTGAGATAATGATGCTGGGCATCGGTGGCTCACGCCTGTAATCCTAGCTACTCAGAAGGCTGAGATATGAGGATCTTGGTTCAAAGGCGGCCCCAGCAGGAACATCCATGAAACTCTTATCTCCAATTACCCACCAGAAAACCGGAAGTGGCCCTGTGGCTCAAGTAGTAGAGTGCTAGCCTTGAGCTGAAGAGCTGAGGGACAGTGCTCAGGCCCAGAGTTCAAGCCCCATGACTGACCAAAAAAAAAAAAAATTGATTTCTAGACACTGAGGCAAAAAGATATAAATATATTAATCATATGCAAAATCCTCAGCTGACCTAGAAATGACTCCCCTAGTAACTGCCAAACACCTCTGACATCATCACTGAACAATAAAGTAACAAAAATTTAAATCAAGTAGGGCTGGGAAGGTGGCTCAGTGGTAGAGTGCTTGCCTTGCATGCCTGAGACCCTGGGTTCGATTCCTCAGAACCACATAAGCAAAAAGAAAAAAGCTGGAAGTGGCGCTGTGGCTCAAGTGGTAGAGCACTAGCCTTGAGCTGAAGAGCTGAGGGACAGTGACCAGGCCCAGAGTTCAGGCCCCATGACCGGTCCTTCCAAAAAAAAAAAAAATTTAAATCATGTAAAACCAATTCAGAATAGAAAAGTGTGTAAGTTAAGATAAAAGGCTAAGGTACAGTCACACAAAAGCAAATACATCAGCTGAAAGAGCAGAGAGTAAGTTTATTTTCTCTCAAATTTTGAAGTGAAAGGTCTTAGTAGGTGTAGCTGTTTTCGTGAAGCATTGAAAGCTGAGGGTCCTTCTAGAATGTTGTTCTACAATCTACTAAGATGAGTCATTTTGGGTACCAACTGGTAGGAAGGAAAAGGGCTATGCTGTGTTCAGGCCCACCCTGGAAATGGAACACAGTACTTGACCTCAAACCCCACTGAAAGGAATCTGGCCATGGGGTCATTTATGATGCAATGAGACTGAGCTATGTAGGGCAACCACATGCCTCAGAAGAGAAGAATGGCTTCTAAGTTTGTGGTAGACAACAGTATCTACCAGAAGGGTTTTCAGATCAATATACTAGGCCTGTGGTTGGGAAATAGTTGCCATAAACATCAAGAAAATGGTTACCTTTGAGCCAAGAGATGGTTCTTAGAAATCCTGGCACTTATCAATGTGACTAGCAGTGACTTGGATATTCTGATATACATGTACATATGTGCATACGTGTAAGTGTGTATATGCGCAGTACTGGGGACTGAACTCAGGGCCTCCTGCTTGTTAGTCAGGCACTCTGCCACTTCAGCCACACACCAACCCCTGATACTCATATTAATTCATTATGATATATTTTAAACTTCTGCAAGTCTAGTACTTTTCATTGCAAAAGTTATAAAATAAAAATTTTTGCCAGTTTAAGAGAATGTAACAGTCTACTCTTTACTGGGTGTGTGTTTGAGTAACTCCATGTGTCAAGAGTAGAGACAGACTTCACAGTGACAATGAACCACAGGCTTGATGCTGCTTGGTTTTACTTAGCAAGTACTTGTAAAAGCAAATATTTGTAATTTATTCCTATGAACTTCTGTTTTCAATTTTGATATTTATCTGACACACATATTCTACTAGTTCTTAAAATCCAAGAGCAACTACCAGAAAAAAAACAAACCTCATCTTTTTCTATTACCTTCTTGATACCCTTTAACAAGTCAGGATTTTACAGAATACTTTAAAAACATGACAAAGAGAGTTCATGTGAGATGGGCTGACTACCAGAAGCTTTTCAGTAGAGCTTCCAGAGGTGTTTCATTATGCTAATCAATCAGTAGGTTTTGTTTTGTGTCAGGGCAGGGCTTGAGCTCACAGCTTGGAGCTCTTGCTTGACCTGATTACTCAAGGTTGGCACTCTGCCACTTGAGCGACTCCTACACTTTCTGCTTTTTAATTGTTAGAGATGAGTCTCTTTTCTGCCTAGTCTGTCTTGGAACTAAGATCCTCAGATCTCAGCCTCCTGATAACTAGGATTATAGAAGTGAGCCACTGGCTCCCAGCATACTCATCAGCAAGGCAAGTATGTTTCTACCTCTGTCAAGTGCCTATTGCTCCATGTTTTTCTCTTTTTCTTCTTCTTCTGGTGGTACTGGAGTTTCACCTCAGGGCCAGGGAGGCACTCTATAGCTTAGACAGTTCTTTTTTGCACTTTTTCCTTTTCTTTCCTTCTTTCTTTTTTTCTTTTTTCCTGGTTCTAGGGCTTGAACTCTGGGCCTTGGTGCCGTCCCCAAGCTTTTGTGCTCAACATTAGCACTCTACTACTTGAGCCACAGCTCTACTTCTGGCTTTTTATGGTTAATTGGAGATAAAGGTTCACAGACTTTTCTGCCTGGGCTGGCTTTGAACAGTGATTCTCAGATCTCAGCATCCTGAGTAGCTAGGATGACAGGCATGCGTCACCGGCACTCAGCCTGCACTAGTTACTTTTAAGAAAAGGTCTTACTTCTTGTCCAGGTACATGCTGAGACTGTTACCTGCCTATTTACGGCTTCCTTTTGCAGCTGAAATGACGGGCATGCCCAGCCATGCCCAGAAATTTTCTGTTGAAAGGAAGTCTTGCAGACTTGTTTTCCTGGACTGGCCTAGACCCACAATTCTGCAGTCTCCCACATAGCAGGCACATACCACTGCACTCAACTACCTGTTGAGAATGGATGTCCAAAACATTTTTTGTCCTTGAACCACGATCTTTATTTTCAGCTCTCCAAATAGCTACTGTTACAAGCATGAGATACTGGCCCCTGACTTTTTCTTAAAGTATTAGGAAAGCTAGGTGTGGTGGCATGCACCTGTAACCTGAGCACTCATGAGGATAAAGTATGAGGGAGTGTAAGTTCAAGGCAAGCCTGGACTACACAGACCCTGAGCACTAGCCTGGTCTACACAGTGAAAGCCTTCCTAAAAACCCAGACTAGTAAGAATTTCTGGGTGTGGACTACATACTTAACACTTCTTTTTTTTGTTTTGTTTTGTTTTTTGGGTCCAATCGTGGGGCCTGAACTCTGGGCCTGGGCACTGTCCCTCAGCTCTTCAGCTCAAAGCTAGTGCTCTACCACTTGAGCCACAGCGCCACTTCCGGCTTTTTTCTTTTTTTTTTTTGCTTATGTGGTGCTGAGGAATCGAACCCAGGGCCTCAGGAATGCAAGGCAAGTGCTCTACCACTGAGCCACCTTCCCAGCCCCCACTTAACACTTCTTCATGTTTTAGGAGGAATACATGGGAATAAAAAATTTTAAACATAGCTGGGTGCCGGTGGCTCACACCTGTAATCCTAGCTACTCATAAGGCTGAGATCTGAGGATTGCAGTTCAAAGCCAGCCCAGGTAGGAAAGTCCATGAGACTCCTATCTCCAATAAACCACTAGAAAACCGGAAGTGGTGCTGTGGCTCAAGCAGTAGAGGCTCGCCATGAGCTGAAGAGTGCAGGGACAGTGTCCAGGCCCAGAGTTCAAGCCCCACAACCGAACAACAACAAAAAAATTAAACATTTAGGTTTAAATAAGTATCTTTACTATTCCTTTTTATTCTCACTAAACCACTATGAATTGCTGGATACATAGTCAAAATTTTGTATTGCTTTATTAATGATTCCTATTATAATAAGGCATATAAACAACATAAGCCTGTGTATGTGAAGAAATTGAAATGTTAAGTGCTGAGTGTAGTGGCCAATACCTATAATCCTAAGTACTCAAGAGGTAGAGATTAGGAGGAAAGCTGGAAGCTGCAAATAACCCAGGGATGGTAGGTAGCATGGTTGTGCATGCCTATAATCTCAACTACGAAGGATGCCATAGGTATGAAGATCACAGACTAAGTCTGACTTGGGGGTGGGAGGGAATACAAGCCTCTACCCAAGTAATTTAATTACTTATTAGCTTACTCACTCATAACTTACTCTGTAAGAAATAGATCACAAGTGATCCAGACTTGCAAATTAGAATAAAACTTGTTTTGCTAGTAAAAAAAAAAAAGTCCTGATGTTGCAAACATTTCAGCCACACTTTTGACCACACATCTGCATTTTTATTGTTATATTACCTATCGTAAACATATCCACATACATCCACTGGTCTTTGTAGTTGATACACTTTTGTGGTAGTATAATAGTTTCAAAACTCCTTGTATGCCACACACATAATAACAAATGTAGGTACTGACCCAATGACCTGAGAGCCAAATGAGAGGCAATAGGAAAGAGCTTGTTGCTTTTGGAAATAAATACTGATGTAAGGGAAGTTTGACTGAAATGTCCAACACAAGGAAGGGTATATTTTAGTTTTAAAGCAACACTGGTAAGGGGTTGTAAAATTCAGAAATTGGTGTCAGCGCTGATTGACAGTAAACAGGGAAGGAACTAAGTTTCCTATTTATAAGCCTCGGACAGCTCCACAAAAATAAAATTCTATGGAAATTTGCTACATTCATCTTACTTTCAATTATTAACCTTAAAAATATTAGTAAAGATAATAAAAGATGGAAAGATTCAGAAAACTTACTCTTTGTATTCTCTCCCCAGTTCTTAGAATCCACTAAATCACCTGAATGTATAGCAGACATAATCTTCTGAGCAACACTGGAAAGAGGTGTCTCATAGAGGTCAAAGCCTACATATGCCTCATAATTTTCCATTTTCATAAGGTCCTAGATATAACATAAGATACTCATGTTATCTTTGAAATTTCAAAATAATAAACACCATTATTTGGAAAATTAATGTCTTGAGAACTTCATTTTTAAGTCTGTATTAATAGCCACAATAAATAGGTTTGAATCAACTCATAATACAAAAACAAAAAAACCCTCATACACACACACACACACACACGGAGTCAAAGGTTCAATATTAGGGGATCATGGTAAACAGAGAATTTATTTTCTAATTACTTAGTTATGAAGTAAGCAATGTACTCAAGCACAGTTTGGAAAAGGCTATTAACTGTTCAACCCCAACAGACACCTGGACTAATCCGGTGAAGGTCAGTATAGATCGAGCACCTGATCACACAGCTGGTATTTTTTCATGAGAGAAGAAAAACATAAATGCTAGGCTGGGTATGTGATTATTGTTAGAGTGCTTGCCTAGCATGCATGAAGCCCTGGGTTCGATTCCTCAGCACCACATACACAGAAAAAGCTGCAAGTGGTGCTGTGGCTCAAGTGGAAGAGCACTAGCCTTGACCACAGAGAGGTTCAAGAACAGTGCCCAGGACCTGAGAAGCCCTAGACTGGCAAAAAAAAAAAAAAAAAAAAAGAAAGAAAGAAAAAAAAAGAAAAAGAAAAACATAAATGCTCTAGCTCAAGATAAAATGGGGGAGGGGTGGAGGGAATGTTACTTGAGCTGATAACTAAATCTTAAAATGTATTGCAAAAATGTTTTAAACACACTAAAATTCCCTTAATAAAAACAAAAATTTGGGGCTGGGAATGTGCCTTAGTGGTAGAGTGCTTGCCTAGCATCCATGCAAGTCTGGGTTTGATTCCTCATTACCACATAAACAGAAAATGCCAGAAGTGTCTCTGTGACTCAAGTGGTAGAGCACTAACCTTGAGCACAGAAAGACTCAGGGACAGAGCCCAGGCACTGAGTTCAAGCCCCAGGACCGGCAAAACTAAATTAATAATAAAAATTTAGCCATGTGCCAGTGGCTCACCCCTGTGGTCCTGCTCAGGAGGCTGAGATCTGAGGATCCTGCCCACCCCGGCAGGAAAGGCCATTGAGATTCTTATCTCCAGTTAGCCACCAGAAAAATGGAAGTGGCACTGGCTCAAAGTGGTAGAGTACTAGTCTTGGGCAAAAAAGCTCAGGAATAGCACCCAGGCCAAGTTCAAGCACCACAACCAACAAAAATAAAATAAATTTTAACAGATATAATAGCTGGTAAATTTTATTTATTGTTAGTACTGGGGCTTGAACTGAGGGCCTGGGAACTGTCCCTGAGCTTTCTGTACTCAAGCTAGTATTCTACCACTTGAGCTACAGCTCTATTTCTGGCTTTTCAGTGGTTAATTAGACAAGAGTCTCAGGGACTTTCCTATCCCAGCTGGCTTCAAACCACAATCCTGATTTCATCTTCATGAATAGCTAGCATGACAGGTTGATCTACCAGTGCCTGCTAGTAAATGTTTTGTCCTTTACACAAATTAATAGGAGGGGCTGGAAAGGTGGCTCAGTGGTAGAGCGCTTGCCTTGAATGCATGAGGCCCTGGGTTTGATTCCTCAGCACCACATAAGCAAAAAATGCCAGCAGTGGTGCTGTGGCTCAAGTGGTAGGGAGCTAGCCTTGAGCTGAATTGCTGAGGGACAGCGCCCAGGCCCAGAGTTCAGGACCCACAACTGACCAAAAAAAAAAAAAAAAAATAGGATTGCTACTTAAACGTGCCCATTTCCAACAGTGATAGCTGAAAACGCTCATTCTCTACAACAAACCCAAGAAAATTCTGGAAGTTATTCCCTTAGAAACTCATTTGGGATTTAACACAGGCCAAATATAAACTCAGCTCTTAAGGAGCATTTGATGAAGTAACTGACAGTCCACTTTGAACTTGCAATTTCTAACCATCCAAATGCTACATTAATATATTAAATACAACCTAATATTTAAGTATTCTTTCCTAAGAAATTAAAATATGCACAATAAGCCCTTTAACCACTTTTATGTAATTTCAAATTTCACATTTCATTTATTATGTGTAATTTACATAAAAAGTACAAGCACTGCTGAAATCTGTATTGCAAGAAACTTAGGGCTTCTCAGCCCCCAGAACTCAATCTCAAGTCAAAAGTTGCCATTCAAATTCTGACATTGTATGTTATAAACAGGCACTTTCAAAATCTCTTAAGTCAGCCAAGTGCCAGTGGCTCACACCTGTAATCCTAGCTACTCAGGAGGCTGAGATCTGAGGATCAGAGTTCAAAGCCAGCCCAGATAAGAATCCAATTAACCACCAGAAAACTGGAAGTGGCACTATGGCAAGTGGTAGAGCGCTAGCCTTGAGCTGAAGAGCTTAGGGACAGCACCCAGACCCAGAGTCCAAGACCCATGACTGACTAAATAATCTTTTAAGTTTGCAGCAGGGAATTACATGAAAATACAATTGAGCAGCCAAATTTTACTTTAGTCCATATGAGGTGACTCGAGTATTTCATAGACAAGGCCCTCCCCTTAGCCATGGAAGATACATTCCAAACCCCAGAGGATGACTGAAATTGCACAATGTAGAGCATGTGATAGAAAACTGCCAGAGCTAGCCAGGTGACTAACAAGAGGGCAGAACACAACACAGAGATGCTCAACGAACAACTCCTGTCCAGAGTGAGTGGTTTCTGACTCCTTCACATGGCTCAGAACTACATACAACTAATAACAGTTGTTTCTAGAATTTTCCATTTAGTATTTTCAGACCACAGCAGACTAAAGGTGACTAAACTTTAGAAAGCAATGCCCAGGAAAGGGGAAACTTGTACTAATAAAGTCAATGATCTTAAAACGCTAACTCATTGTATTAAAGTCAATGAAAACTCAGATAAGGGAAAAACTACTTATTAAGAGTCATACCTTGGAAGTGGCACTATGGCTCAACTGGTAGAGTGCTAGTCTTGAGCTGAAGAACTAAGGAAGAATGCCCAGGCCCACAGTTCAAGCCTCACGACCGACCAAAAAAAAAAAATCATACCTGTAATCCTAACTACTCAAGAGGCCAAGACCTGAGAACCAAAGTTCAGAGCCAGTTGGCGGGAAAAGCTATGACTCTTATCTCCAATTCACCACCAAAAAGCCAGAAGTGGAATTGTTGTTCAAGTGGTAAGACACTACCCTTGGGTAAAAAAAAAAAAAATTTCAAGAGGCAGCACCCAGATTCTGAGTTCAAGAATCTGAGTTCAAGGATCCACCCAGGACTGGCACACAAAAAAATGTATTTTTAAAAATGTTAACTCAGTTGGGCACCGTAATCCTAGCTACTCTGAAGGCTGAGATCTGAGGATCATGGTTCAAAGCCAGCTGGGGAAGGAAAGTCCGTGAAACTATCTCTAATAAACCACAAGAAAACTGGAAGTGGTGCTGTGGCTCAAGTGGTTGAGCGCTCACCTTGAGCTGAAGAGCTAAGGGACATTGGCCAGGCTCAGAGTTCAAGTCCGAGGATTGACCAAAAAAAAAAAAAAAAGTTAACTCAAAGTTCTACAAGTATTTTCAATACTCAATAGCAGAAAACTTCAGTGTATAAATAAAGGATCTGATTGAATTAAAAACATTTTCAGAAGAGAATGATAAAGAAAAATTGATCAAGACACACTATGTTCTGGACACATTTGACTTCTGGAATTGAAACCCCTTTGTACAACTACTTAATGTTTTAAAAATACATTCCTTGACTAATTATACTCTTGACTTCTGAAATTGAAACCCCTTTGTACAACTACTTAGTAATACTTTTAAAAAATACATTCCTTGACTAATTATACATTTGTATATACATATATATGCACATATGTATTACATGTTTTCTACTTATAAATGCAAATTTTCCAGAACTGCTACCAAGCAAACAAGACATAAAATAGCACGACAATCCTGTATGAGGGAAAATACAAACATAACAGATTGAATATCCCTTATCTGAAATGCCTAAAACCAAATCAGACTTTAAATTTTAGAATATTTGTATAATGAGACATCTGGAGATGAAACCCAGGTCTACATCTGAAACTCATTGTCTCATATACACATTATACACTGAAGAATATAAGGACAATTGCATTCCATTTCTGACTTGTCACATGGTTAGAATGGAATTTCCACTTGTGGAGGACATAAATGTGCACAAAGCTTCAGACTGTGGCTAGGCATGGTGGTGTAATGCCTGTAACTGCAGCTCGTGGGAGGTAGGAAGCAGGATGATGTCAAATTCAAGGCCAGACTGGGCTACAGAATAAGAACTTTCCTCAAGAAAAAACAAGAAACTTTTTCCTTGAATAATATGGATTTTCAGATTAGGGATGCTCAACTTCTATGTACTTAAACCCACTGAATGAAAAAATACATTGACCTTGAATTTCAACTGAGTCATGTTTATTACATATATTCTCCTTCTAATACATAAAACACTAAAACAGCATATAAAGATTGTTTTCAATGATTTTCAATCTTGAAGACCAACAGCCTTAATCTTTGATTGGCTTTCTAAATTCTCCACAATATCTTTCAAATAGTCTCCATCTTTTAAAAAGTACACATATAATTCTCTTTCTATTTGATGCAATTTATTAGTTGCCAAAATTTTTCTTTTGGTCTTCACATCAGCAAAAACATCAGCAAGGAGATGATTGAGCTTATTCAATTGGGATTCAACTTGATAAAAGTGGTCCATTAATTCCTAAAAAAAGAAAAACACTTTTAATCAAGAATTTTATTAACAACAATTATAACTTAAAATATAATTTATAAAAGACTAAGTGATTTAATAACTATGCACCATCTAAGAAATAAACTGCAATTAGAAATGAGATTATAGGAATCTAATCATTATATATTTCATTATCATGTTTCAAATATAATCATTATAAAACTAGCCCACCAGCCAGGCACTGGTGGCTCATGCCTCTAATCCTAGCTACTCAGGAGGCTTAAATCTGAAGA